GAAGAGTGTGTGAGGGACGGACAGACAGACAGTCACATACTCATCGGCGCACACAAAGAAGACAGACAGAGGATCTTATTCTGTAAAATTAGATGTAAAATAATGATGTATACAGTGCTTATAAAAGGTATTCACCCCCTCGCAAGTTAAATATATTATGTTTTCTCAGGTTTGTGTGTGTACGTGGGCAGGTTGCTGTGTATCAGCCTGACATTGTCATCACTCGAGCTTCATTCTGCGATGATCTCACAACCCCGGCTGAGTGCCTATGCAGACCCGAAATAATGTGAGAAAACAATTTGCGCTCATCCATACTTTCTCTCCCTGTATCGCCATCTGTCTCTGGCTCTCCTCTGATGCTTCATGTCAGCTAAAATTAACGGAGAAGTGCAGATGGTGTCAGCAAGATTCACTTCTGATACATCAGGGTCTCACCTTTTTCCCTTTCTGTCATGAGCAACTCCGTATGACGGCTGAGACTCGATGGGGAAGTGTGCAGGGCGGCCCAACCCACACATCAATCCAGAGTATCTCCAGAGGACCAGCTGCTGCTAGCTGTGACACTCTGAACTGCAATCCCATGATGCCTGCAGCCTTCACCCCCACTCATGAAGGGTACAAATGTACTTTCTGTTGTAACAAATAACCAACTAACAGGCTGCAAGAGAGACAAATTCTGGTATTGATATTTGCACTAAAGGCAATATAATGACTTGCCTCCAGGCAGCTTTGTGTTTATGAAATATTGTAAAAACACCAAAAAACAATCTCAGTACTTTCAGCCGTCATAAATGTGCGATGTTTGACTGTGTTTGGCCTATCTCATAGAAACAATTGCCCCAAACATGTGTCAAAAGGCTAATTTCTCAGACTGTCTCGGGACAGCGATTATCGAGCATGCACAAACTTCTATCTATTATCATGTGTGAAGAACCAGTTGTGTTTGTCACTATACATGTTCCATTTTTACTATACAGGATGTGTATGATGAGGTGTGGTTCTTAAAATAATTGTGTGATAAGATACACATGTGATACGGAGCACGGTGATGATGATAATGATTCATTTATTGGGGTTATTATGTGTTAAGATGGAAAAGAAGAAAAAATACCAGCTCATTTCTTTGGCATAAAAAAATAATAAACTCCTGTTTGGTCGCTAGTGGCCTAATTCAGCTGCATATCGACGCAATATATTCCACAAACAGTTTGAGGCTTTTGCTCTTCTTTTTTGCAATTCATTTCACAATATGTAGCCTGTGTATCCTCCAGCACATCGCACAGCTGGAGGGCTGACATGAGGTCTGTTTCCATATTCATTGCAAGCACAGCTTCCTTGTGAATCTTTATGCAGCCATACACGGCAGGTGGTAAAGAAGCCAAAATGGCTGCATTGTATTCTTGTCAAATTGTTATAGTTTTGACTGTTGATTTAGAAATTAATCTAGAAAAAAAAGCATTACATTGGGGACAATTATATGTCCGACTGGCTCGACCACTGCTGCCTACAGCTCCTTCAAACTCTTGGTTGATCTTTGCTCAAGCATGCAGGCCGACCACTGACGTTTCAGATGATCTTTCTGCATTTAACCTTCAAGCTGCTTTGCTAAACTCCACGTCTTGGCCAGATAACTGCAAAAGAAAAGCCCCGGATTAAAGAGCCTGTCCCTCTATTGCTATTTCAGTTTAAATAGCGGCATTTGTTTCTTGAGGATGTTTCTTTGGGGAAGGAATACCAGAGCCTTCAGAATCCATGACCTTATCCCTCTCCACCATCCCTGTTTTCTTGATCGACTCTCTCTATAAAACAGTACTGTAGCATATTCTCTCTTTCTGCACCAAACTCTCCGTCTACCAACACAAATCTCAATGCATTTCTGTCTTCATGGTGGTAGAAAATCTAAAATATCTAAATCATAGATGCTATTTCTTTCCCTCTCTCTCTTTCTTTCTCTCCCTCTCGCTCTCTCTCTCTCTTGCTCTCGCTCTCTGTCTCGCTCTCTCTCTGTCCCCGGTGCGCGTCAGCGTTTGCGCAAGCAGCCTCTTCGCCTCCCCGTGTAGTGTTCTGCTCTGCTCCGTCTTTCCCATTAACCGGTTTACTATCACACTCGGACGAAGCGCGCGCAGAGGTGCTGTTCTTTTTCTTCTTGTCTTAAACCCCCTCTTGGATTATCACTGTGTTTTTCATCATGCTGGAAGTGGAAGGTAGGAACCGAAAACACCGTATTTCCATCGTTTTTTCTTTTCTTTTTCTTTTTTTTTTTTTTTTTTTACCGTAAACGGCGCCCTGACAGTGTGAACTTCATGTGTTCCTTCTCGGATCGTATGTCGATATAGGCTTTGTAGATGTATGTTTTCTCCACGGATGTGACTTTGGTTTTCATTGACTTTGTAGTAGCCTCTGAGGTTAATGCCAGACCGTCTTTAATCGTTAACACTAACCGTTGTGTAACCGGGAGGAGTGTCTGTCCGTGTGCGTAACGCTGATGCCGAATTTCATCAATGAAGATGTCCAGGAATTGGTTGAGCAATAGCAGGTTTCTTTATTTAATTGTTCATGGCCCCGTTTAGAAATATACGAACAGCCTCTTAATGCAGTGGCAGCCGGTGCTATTTTGTGCTATCGGTCTGCTGTGGGCTTTATCTCCTTTGTCTTGAATAATTCAGAAAGTTCTTTGATCTCGGTAGGGAATAAACATTATAGCCTACAGCGGAGGTTGGACCACTTGTCCTCCACAGTGAAACACTGCTGCATCAAGAAGGATGGTCTCTGACATTGTTATGTGGTGGGGACGGAAAATGAAATAGTGTTCATATGGCTCGAAAATGGCAGTAATTGATGAGAATATCTGAAAATAAATACAATGGATGTGGTGATTTTGTTTTTTTTAACTCTATAGTGGATCTCTTTTTATTAAGATTTATTTTCTCTTAATACTATGGAGGAGTTGCATTATTTGCCCCCACCTTAGTGGAATACCTTTCACCACCCTAGAAGTCACATCATACATTTAACAAGTTGAAGTTCAATCATTCAGACCATCAAAGCTGATTTTCAGAACTCTTGATGGGACTCCTGTAGGAAGAGGAGCTTCTCCCCCCCCACACAAAAAAACCCCAAAACAAATACATTACATATACCTTCAGTTGGCCCCACTCTGTGGTTTCTGTTACCATTTTGTATTCTCCAATTACTGCAGTTTCATTGACCTGTATGTCAGTTAGGGCAACCTTGAGTTGACTTGAGGTAAAGCAGTGTATTTTTGCCAAGAGACAATAATCCAGGTTTTCAGTAAGACCAAAAACCAGCTCATGTACTGTGTGTAAGTTAATGATGCTGTTAGGCTTTTTTTGGAATTTGGCTTGTGCATGACCACACACCGGATTCGGGTGCAGCGTTGATTAATCTAACGTTCTTGTTTAATGGTGATGCCGCTGGGTTGTTGTGCTGTGCTGCAGCTGGAAAAATTAGACCAAGCTGAGGTCAGAAGTGCAAAGAATAAAGGATCTGGTTAAAAATGAGGACAGCCTGGTGTTGTGTGTTGACTTCCAGCCAATCACTTGAAGCCTGGGACATGCTGTAATTATTCAAAGCACATATGTTTAAGGTTCAGGTTTAAGTGGCTTGTTTCAGGGAGATTTGGAGAAACAGGAACTGTATTCTGGCTGAAGTGAAAAAAAAAGAGCAGTGTGGACTTCAGTGCTCTTTTGTCTCTTACTCCCCCTCTTCCTCCTCCACCTCATTCATGTGAATGGGGAGATGCTGAGGGCGGAAGTGTGGGCTGCTGCTACACACTCAGAAATAAAACTGTACTAGATAACATGCATTCACATTAAAAGGATCACCTATTTCAATATTTGTCCCCCATCTCACGCACCCTGCTCCATTTTCTCTCTCGTTTTCTCCTTCCAGTGAACGGGACGCTGGCCAGTCAGCTGTCCACTCCTCATTCGGGAGAATCTCCCAGCCCGTCCCCAACCAGCCCAGGCAGCCTCAGCCAACACCGGGTAAGACAAGCATACACACACACACACACACAAACAGTCACCCATAACATTTAGTGACATTAAATCTATAACACATTCCCTCTATGTTCTCAGGAAAAGGACAAATCTGTGACTGAGCATAGGCCGACTACATCTTAGAGTCGCTAGACATACGAAGAAACCACAACATCCCAACGTCTTTAGTGTCTCAGAAAGGGGGTTTGGTGTCGACCTTTGACCTCACACAGTGGTGCTCTGGGATTCCAAGAATGGCAGACTCATGTTAGGTTTCTCTAATGTTACAACTCTTATCCAGTGTTAATCGATTTTCAAGGGCAATTCCTCATTTTACGGTGATTTTCTGTCACGTTCCCACAAACGCTGACCCATCGCTCTCTGTTCCTCGTGGAGAACTCTATTTGCCTTTGGTAGCTAAACAATGATGGACGCTATCACTGACTTTTAGAGGTCTGTCAGTCAGTAAATTGTGCAATATCTGATCTAAAAAGGAGACTGATTGTTGGCTTTGTGAGCGGCCTGCTACAATCTTCATGTCTGTTTTTAATCTGAGAAAAATTGGTTTGCATAGACACCAAGCAGAAGGAAAAAAAAAAGACCCAATCAGTACCAACTGCTGATCTAGGATACATTTTTTTTTTCAAGTACTGTCATTTTGTACAAGTCCTTTTGTGAAAACAATTTAGAAACACATTTTATACTAGTAAATCAGATTATTTCAGACATCTTTTTATCATGTATTCTGTCGTTGACCTGGGTCTAAAAAAAAAAAATCCTTGTTAAAACATCTAATAATCATAATGTGTTTGCTCGAGCTAACAGGGGAGGAAGAGGATCTGAGATGCAAACACACAATGTACCCTGTAAAGCTGGTAGTCACTACTGTATAGAATACTGCTGTGCAGAGAGGGAGCATGCAACTCAAACGGAAAAACCTTGAATTCCAACATTCCAATGGATCACGAGCTGTGTGTGTGTGTGTGTGTGTGTGTGTGTGTGTGTGTGCATGTGTTCAAGATCAAAGTATTTGTTAATCCAGTCTGTGACAGTGACGATGGTGAGCTTTTAATATCAGCCTCAAATCCTGATCAGTCCCTGTTTTCTTGCAGCAGCTCTTTTGATTTGCAGGAACTCTAAGCCTGCTGCTGATTTAGGTTCCTTCTCCCTCTTACACCAACACTCGCACGCTCGGTTCACCTCACCCTCTTACATTCGCATACAGCCACAGCACTGTATGTGAACCTGTCCCGTATTCATTTGGGCTACCGGATGCACGTGTCTTGTGTTTTCTCAACCATATACTTTTCTACGTGACAGCAGGGGTGCAGCTATGATTTATTTTGCTATTATTTAGCTATTTATCGGAGCTGGGACAAACCATTTTTTTAGGGAACGAAAGGCAAGAATGTTGTTGGAGTCAATATCCTTTTAATGGGACACAGAATATTGAGTGGTATGTGAATTATTTCTGTACGTAAATGAGTGTGTGTAGGCTAAAATCAGCATAGCATAAAGAATGAATCTCTTGGGCTCAGGAGCTTCTGTCTGGTGCTACATTTGGCAGGAAGAATTAATGGATGGTGGAGAGTCTGGCCCATCAGTGATGAGGTTACATTGATGTGATATGAAGGTCAGCCAGGGACAGATCAGGGACACATCAGATTTGGGTTGTAGCTACTGAGAACAGAACAAGGTGCACTGGAACTTCCACAGTCTTCTGTATAATAGAAATGGGTCACCATAGATCTCAGCGTCGAAAGGGAGATAAATTGGCAAGTGCACACATTTATGAACACTCTCTCTTTCTTTCTGTCTACTTCTCTCTGAATGGAGACATTTACAGTACCCAGTTTCTGCTGCTCTGTTATTTCCTTATTTAACTCGGGGTTAGAGAGGTGACGGAGGGCTAACCAGATGTAATGAGAAAAAGGAAAAGAAACATTGCCCCATCCTCTCCACATTGAACCACACTACATGTCCTTTTGCTTCTGTCCACTTTTCTCATCAGCCATCATAAATTAGCTATGTAGTGCAATCCTGACCTCAGTGATACTGCCGTTAAATTCTAGTTTTATAGTTTCACAAGCGTGTATTTCTCAACGAGAGATTATTTGGGTCTTTGTACCTGCTGATACTCTGTACTAAGCCTGCAATGGCTTGGCTGGAAGGGAGGAAGACTCGCAGCCCATTATCTCTCCTCCCCACTCTGCAGCTTCACACTCTTCAGCTATATGGTGTAATTCTCTCTCGACACTTCTTACTTTTTCTATCCGCCCAGTTAGAGATTCAGTTTCTGTACCTTCTCTCCCAAACAGTTTCTAATTTCTATTTCACTCCATCTGTCACCGATTGTCACTTCCAGTCACCCAGCTCTGCAACCCCTCTCTCATTTCCCCATATGAAAGGGTATTAACTTCACAGGGAGAAATAATAGTCCATCATTTCCCTTTTAGATTAAGTCTAAGCTTCTTGGGGAAGTAGGCGCCAAGTTTCTGACACTATATTTGCACAGTTCCTCTCCCTCTATGTCCCCTCTGTGTAAACAGGCATGAATAATCACAAATATTGAATACACACACCCAAATCATTTTATTGTTGTGCTAACAATGGCAAGGAGGTACCTTTCTCACCATAACACCTAAAATGCATAACTCAATCTGATCACACCATGACTCAGAAATGACCCTTTTCCTTCAAATAGAACTTGAATTTTTAACATCCGGGTTCTTCAAAGAACATCTGGGGCTCAAAGTTGACTAAAATATTTTTGAAATGTCAGCCCTACAACGCATTGAAAGCTACCATAAATCCATTTCCTCTGCAGCCACAGAGCCTCAGCGACCGACTATGAGTATAGCATTTGAATAGTTCACCTCGCTGGACCCTGCATTTAAACACTTAGAGGCACTTTGCTGCCTGATGTAGGTTGCTCGCACAGCTCAGACCATCCTAACCCATTTCCCCAAGCAGAATACACAGACATTGCATTGCACTGTGGCTGTTCCATTTCCCTTGCACACATACAAGGGAAACACTTATACGCTCATGTATGCTTCAGGAAAAAAACACTTTTGCACATGACATCCCCATTTGGGCACAGGCAGTGGATAACAGCTTGATGCACATTTACACATGCTATGCGTTTTATACATTTGGTAAACGCTGGTGTGACCAATTTTAATGCATTTGCAACCGAAGCATGAAAGCAGGATGCCATCCATCTCCTGCTTCTCCTTTGCTTCTTAGAGTCCTTTTAGGGCCACTTGCCTCACCATTTTCATATTGCAGTAGTATTTTAATTTAAACATACCGACACACACCCTTGCATTTTGTTTTCTGTCAATATCCATTAAGCAGGTACAGATAAATCAAATGGTCACATCTCTTCCCTGTTGTCTGTTTCCTCCATCAGATGTGAAAAACACAGACAGGGAAAGAAATCATTAAAAAAAAAAAGACAATACTCTGAGCACAGTGACCGACAGATTGAAAGCAGGACAAACAGAAGGTCTGTGATGCCGATATAACAGCTGTGAGACAGTCAGGTAGCTGTTTGTATTAGCGTATGACAGAAAGAAAGTGATAATTGTCAACCGTAGTATGTCACCTACATCCTCCTCTCACCGTTGAGTCATTCACTTCCATAATCCTTTGAATTGCATGCTCCATCTCTCATTATCGTCCATATTTTGTGTTGGGTGATTCATAATTAAATTATGTGTGAACGTGTGTGTGTGTGTATGTGTGTGTGTGACAGAGAATGAGAGAGCAGACTGAAGGTGTGTTTTATGAAGTTGTTAATTATTGTCTCATCTCATCGTGTGTTGTTACTAAATATTGTATTTGTTATTCGGTTGTATTATGTTTCTGATTTCCTGTCGCGTTGATGTCATTAGAAGGCTTGTCCAATTTCTGTTGCTACAGTGTATCTGCCAAAAGGACTGGCTGCAGCCATGAGGAAACGGTGGAAGAATTTGAAATCGCTGCAATTTTATAGCTTAAACATTGTTTCTTCAACATTTTATTCTTTAAATTATTCACAAATAATTCAAATCTGGCTTTACATATCTTTAATTGGTAACATTGCTTTTTGCAGAGGGCTTCAGGATATTTGTTTGCACTCCCATTTACATACATGTAAGATGTCAATGTGAAAATCGTCTGTGTGCTTTATCACAGGCAAATTATATGTGATAACCTCGTCCATCATTTACATACTGTGATTTTGTCATGTAAGGCCGCCAGCTCTTCTTGGCTCATTTGTTTCTGTTTGTACTTTATTTGCTCTTTCTTTAATGTATTCATTTCCATTTGTTGATGTCATCATTAAATTCATTGTCATTTCATTTTCATATTGTGTTTTTCTTCTCGTGCTCCTCGTGTGTGTTGATTAACAGTAATTCTCATGTGACATGACATACAAAAACAAACAGAGATCATTTCCAGTAGATGTAGGATGATTATGATGATGATGGTCGGTTCTCCTTTGTTAAACTCGTGTCTGTATTCAGCAGAGCAGAGAAGAGATTACAACACAAACTCAGTCCCAGTGGAGCGTTCATCTCCCCAGTCTATTCTGGATGGTTTTTTTCTGTCTTAGAGAGACCAAGTCTCCTGTTTTTTATTCCCCGTTAAGCATTTAATCACGTGTCTGTGATTCTGCAGGATTGCGGTCCATAAGATTGTGATTAGAAAACTTCCCTGGCAGAGCAGAAAGACTGAATCCCCTAACACTGGTGATCTCTTCAGATGAGAGTCAAATTGATTATGTTTCCTATCCGTCTAGACACCAAAATAAGAGCCAAGACGTATTATCTCCTGTACCGTGTGTCCTTATGAGAGGTAGAGTGGGAACTTGGGACAAAACAAAGTACCCTATTTCTATCAAATCTTATTAGACGTTTTTCCACCAACGCAAACATCAATAAATCCTGCTTCTGCTGGATATTGCGTGACAGTGAAAATGACAAGAAATGCTGCTGTAGAGGAGGTTTGGCTCTCTCAGCCTGAGGCACAGAGAGGAAGACGGCTTTAGGATTTGTGTAATCAAATTCAAACAGGGTCATCGAGGATGAAGCTAGCATTACTCTTTAGTCGTTTTTGTAAATGTTGTGGTGCATTTTTAATGCTGAATTCTACAGTCGACTGACTTTTTAAATATGTCTGCTGTTTGACGTCTGAGATGATGCCCCATGTTTAAGGTCAATCATGGACATCCTGTTTAATTCACATTCATGCGCTGATCAGTATTCAGTCGCTGAGTGTTGCCCGTTGAGTGTGCCGGTTTGAAGAGCAGTGGTTCCAGTCATGATGTAAAAGGTTTGTCGGTGTGTATGTGTTTTTTTGCTTTGTTTTTGTGGTGTGAGTCATAGCCAGAGCAAAAGTGAAGAGATGTCGAGCTAGGAATAGTGTATGTTGTGTTGTGCAACAGGGAGAAAGCTGGAACAATAACAAGACAGTTCCTGCCATATATATATATATATATATATATATATATATATATATCAACCAGACCAGACTCCATACATCTTTCCCACAGTCTCTTCGTTTCTCCGCCTCTCTCTGCCTCACAGTCTCTTCTCGCTCTGTCTGTCACTCCATCTGTCTCGTAGTTTTTCACACAGGAAGGAGAGACACAATGTTCATAGAAGGGCAAACCTACCTCCCAGACCGCAGACAGGAAATGGCCATATATAGGCTTCTGTCTCCACTCTGGAAGTCTCATAAGCTGCCTCTCTCTTCTCCGTGAGCAGTTTCCATAGCAACAGTATTTTGTTTCCCTCGGTGGCAGGAAGAGAGAGATAGGAGTTCAAAATGAGAAAGCGAGCAGAGGACAGGGCTGGATGTGGGATAAGGGCACAAGAGAGGTAAATGTTGGAGTCGGGATGAGAGAATAAAGGAGCAGATGAAGGGTGTTTTGTAGATAAAGCACAGGAGGGTCATTGGCTTTATGAGTGTTAAGTGGGTTTTCCTGTTCCAGGATGAGTGCCCGAGCAAAAACAACATTACATAAACCAAATAGCCTGACTCACTGCTACATTCACCTGGGCGGCTTTCAGGTCACAGCAGTAGAGATGAGTAAACAAGCTGGCAGTTACTTGAGCTGAGATGTAGGGCAGCTCGGCTTTGTAAATATTTTTAATTTCTAAGTCATTATGACGGGCCATCTCCTATTTCTGCCATGACAGCGAACTCTCCAGTCTGTATCACAGTCTGACTGGATAGCATAGATATAAGAGGGCATTTCTAGTTCTCAGCAAGCATTTTAATTGAATAAATGTTGATCTGCACTTTTGTTGAAAAAGCAGAAGCATGTTATCAGATTTAAGCATGATAGCAATTGTTGATGCCAAATTTGGCACCCTTTTACACATCACCTTTTTCCTTGTTACAATTGTTTTCTAGGTTACTATTATAACAATAGGCAGCATTTATTAATTCAGCAACACTCTTTAGATCTCCTCTCTTCAAAGGACTCAGGACTGATTGATGTGGTATATATTCACCACGAGAGAGCATCATAAAAACTACACCTGCACTGAAATAATGAAAGTAAAATACATCATCAGACAACATTATTCACCAACTAACCGCTAATGCACTGCTCTCTGATGCACATAGATTGGCTCGCACATCACACACACAGTGCAGACCATTTACAGTGCAAACTGCACATGTTAATAATTCACATCGTCAAGCTTATATTTTAGAGGAATTATGATGGTGTCCAATTCACTCGCTGGCCGGTGCCAGCTGCACCTGCAGGATTTATTCGAGCGCTGGAAACCTCCCAGACCACAAAGATTTTGCACATCTGTGTCCTCAGGACTGACTGTGAAGCCGGAGAGAGGAGACGAAGGAAAGTGAGAATTATGTTCATCTTCCAAGCGAAGCATTATCACATTGTTCAAATGTAGTAAGATAATGTGAAGCCAAGTTTTGGAGTCGAAGAGAAGAGAAAGATGGACAGTAGAGGAGCGGAGGAAAGACAGAAATGAGAGATGAGTAGATTCTCATTTACAGTCCCGACTAGATCCTCGCGCCCTGCCCTCGGTGCTTCCATGACAACCAGACAGAAGGTTACGAGGTGGAGGGCGTAATGAGTTTTTGTCCTTAGATAGATGCAGACGCTGCATCTCTTTCCCCTTAATGACCTCCTAATCTCCAACCACATGAAAGGCAGTATTCATCCACCTTTATTATGGTCATCGAAACCTTTGTTTTGAGGTGTTATTGAAGGTATAGTGAGGAGTAAAAGGAAGGGACAATTAGGAATGACTTAAAGTTCTGTGAATAGAGAGGAGCTTATTGGGATTCGATTGTCTGTCCACCGTGGACACACACAGGTTGTTTGCTGAATAAGTAACCAGTTTATATTCAGCTCAGTAGCTTAAGTAAATCTGTACACACAACACAGGGCAGCAGTATACAGCAGGAACAGACATGCAAACACAAAGACAGATTTAAGGATGTTCTCAGGATGAGATGAGTCACACAATGTACTTTTGTCTATTTTTGGACATAAGTTAGATTTTGTTTTGGCTGGGATTGTAGCAGAAGGAACTGTTTCATGCTGTTTTGTTACGTGTTGAGTGAATTACAAACTACTTTGTGTAATAATAAAGGTTTAAATAGTTGACATCCTGGTCTCTGTCTCCCTGCCTCTCTGCAGGGGTCCCAGGGTTCTTCCACCTCTCTGTCTTCCTCTAAAGTGTCCAGCTCAGTGGAAGACAGGGATGGACCAGATACTGAAGGTGAGGAAAATGATCGCGACAAGAATACCCCAATCTGTCCGTCAGTGGGAAAAGGCGATGTACTCGCAAATATCATGCATGTCTGAATCATTTTCATGACCTTTGATGCATCTCTCTCTCTCCCATCTCTGTGTTGTACATCCTGTTCTCATCACCTCTGTTTCTCACACTTTTCCCCTCCTCTGGTGTTTTTCTTCACCTCTGTGACACTACAAACAATGATGTGCTGGTAAATATTGTAAAGGTTGTAACGAGAATTGTATTCTTTTATGTTGAGTCATTGGCTTTGAAATTAGTTAGAAAAATGATTTATAACTGATAAAGGGTCGACTGTATGTTTGAATCTAATTTTAATATTCTATATATTGTCACGTATCTGTGTTATTTGTATTTATTTGTTCTATATCAGTCCCTTTACTTTTTCTTTACTGTTGGATCCATTTATTAATGTATTAATAATCAGCAAATAAGTTTACTAATCTAACCTTTGTGTCCTGTTCAATATTAATGAATTCATTGTTATTAGCAGGATATGCAATAGCTTTTAACAAGGCTCTTATGTTCCCCCTAATGACCTAATTACCTATTAAACCTGTGTGTATACAATTAATCTTTATCAGCTTGAAAAACAGTGTAAACTTGAGTCCCTCAGCCACTCTAAACCTCGTTCTTCCTCTCTGCAGCTGAAGTTCTAGTCGATGAGGTTCCAGCTGTGCCGTCCTACATATCAGACCGCTACAAGGTGGGACGCATGTTAGGCGATGGAAACTTTGCAGTCGTCCGGGAATGTGTGGAGCACTCCACAGGACGGGAGTACGCTCTGAAGATCATCAACAAGGGCAAATGCAGAGGCAAGGTAAACCATGACTCCAAAGGCCAAAGGGTCCTGTGCAAGGCCACCCCACCCAAGTAGGAATACTGTTGCTTGGCTTAAATGTTACTCATGTAGACAGAAAAAGATTACTTGTATTCAAAACTGCTAAAATATATATACAAAAGTAGCTCTTTTGAAGACGACTCTAATTATTTAAGTTCAATTAAACTAAGAAACAACTAAGAAGAACTAAGTAAACAACAGTTTGCAGTTCATCAGGGCACACAATGCAGGATTAATGTAACAGGAGATAGAATACTTAAAGAGCAATAACCATCTGCAAATCCTGTTTTCACTGACCTCCAGCAGTTTAACTTCTCGTGTTGCTTCAGCAATGAAGAGTTGTACTCCAGTGTGTGTCAGCACTTCATGACATCACTGTTAGGTGTGGTTTAAAAGTGCAACAGAGCACACTTCTCAGCTCACCCATCACCCCTACAGAGGATCCACTTTAGTGTTTCAACAAAATTTCTTTCACTTGGCTAAACTCAATTTCAATTCTTATTTCTAGGAGCACATGATCCAGAACGAGGTGGCCATCCTCCGCAGGGTCAAACATCCAAACATCGTCCTGCTCATAGAGGAGGTGGACACTTACAGCGAACTCTATCTGGTCATGGAGCTGGTCAAGGTGTGTAGCCCTGTTTGCATACCGTACTTACATGTTCATGTTTGTGCATCATGTGCTATGAATATTTGGCCATGCTAACATAATGGATAGATGTATTATTAATACATGTTGGTGATCATTATCTCCAACTTGAGAGCAACAGACAGGACCAGGGCGGCAGAAACAGCAGACCAATCTGCAACATTCAGCTGGTGATGCAAATGATGAATTCCAAACAGTGACACTGTGGGATTGAGAGAATCGGTCTGTGGCCCGAACCGCTCGTGTGTTCACATTCTTTATTCTCTCTCGCTCTCTGAGTCAAGAAATGTTTGTGCATAATTCATGAGCCAGGAGTGTAATCCATCTGTTCATGTTGTGGTGTAGAGTACTACAGAATATAGATGAGAGGCAATCTGTGGAAGGAGTGTGTGTACGTGTGAGCCTGTCCAAAGTAGGAGGATCGAGAGGAGGCTGTTGATGAATGAGGTGGAGAGAGTCTCTGCCAGAGTGGCAGGGACAGAGAGAGAGAGAGACAGATGGATGCATTGAAAGGGGAAGCAAAGGGTAAGAGCAACGAGAGAGATGGCTCAAAATATAGCCAAAAATATACACATAGTTTTGTGTTCTTCTGCCTGGTGCTGTTGATCGGTCCCATAGTTTCAATTAAGGAAAAACTTTATATTTTAGACAATACTATGCTTCCAACTTTTTGGCAACTGTTTTTGCTTCAACATGACAAGGCCCATAAAGAAATAGTTTTTCGATATGGCATGGAAGAACTTAACTGGCTTGTACAGAGGCCTGACCTTGACCCCATCAGACACCTTAGGGATGCCACCAGTGAGCCAGGCTTCATCACCCAACACACGCAGCTGACCTCATTAACGCCCTTTCAGCTGAATGGGGAAAAAAGCTCCCAGCAGCCAGGCTCCAAAATCTTGTGGAAAAGCCTCCAAAGAACAATGGAGGATGTTATAGCAGCACATTCATGTTTAAGCCTTTGGAAGTTAGATGTTCTACAATCACATACAAGTATAATGTCTGAGTGTCAACATACTTTTGACCACACAGTGGGGGTAGAGAAGTGGTGATAAGGTGACAGCGCTCATGTTTAAATAATTGTCCCTACGCAGGCTGGATGCCGACAGTGAGTCTGAGTCTGTGCTGAAAAACCTGAGAGTTAGAGAGATTCAGCACTATTTTAAGCTTTTGTTCCACTTAGTCCTCTCAGAGAGAGAGAGAGAGAGAGAGAGAGAGGAGGGGAAGATTCACACGAAGTGAAAAATATGTGCTAAGAACTGAGGAAAAAGCGAGGAAAGAGGAGAAGGTGAAATTAAATGAAAATATCAAAGACAGAGGGGAGGAGGAGATGTTTCAACCAAGGTAAGGAATAAGGACACAGTTTACCACTCTAGCTGCTAAGCAAACGAAAACGCTCGCTCAACTTTCTAGCCAAAAACTCCTCTCAGCAGAAAAAGATGAGTAACTGTGAAAACTTGGAAGTGAACCTGTCAGGTTCTGTGCGTGAAAACGCCAAACAGAACTCCTGTGAGTTTGGTCCTAATACTGACAACCCGCCCACCAATCATGATTTTTTTTTTCTGCAGGGGGGAGATCTGTTCGATGCCATCACCTCTGCCAACAGGTACACTGAGAGAGACGCCAGCGGCATGCTCTACAATCTGGCCAACGCAATCAAATACCTCCACAGCCTCAACATTGTGCACAGAGACATCAAACCAGAAAACCTACTGGTGAGTTCACGCGGAGTGGGTCTGCATGTGTCTACATGGTCATATATCTTGCCGCAGTATAGCCTCCCTCTTGTCTGAATGAACAGTGAAGTAATATCACTCACTCTGGACTCTCACAGAGGAGATAGATGACTCATCCCTGCTGCCCTCACACCTCCCGCTCACTCCTTCTCCAGCTTTCTTTGCATGTGCATTCCGTCCCTCCTTCTCCCTTCTGTCGACCTCCTGGTTGTCTTCTCATCCTCTTCCCTCAAATGCTATTCTTCATCCCCTCCTTTGCACCGTCTACCACCCAGAGTCCTATTTTACATGTGATGGTCGGGCCAGACTTGTGGAAGGAGTTGTGAGCCATAAACCCAAAGCAATTTAGTTTTGTGTGTTTGTCAATTTCGAGTTAAACGACGCTGAAACGCCTGAGCAACTTTAAATATTATAATATGTATTATACCAGCTTTAAGGTTTGTTTGCAGTCATACTTTATTAAAAGGTGCTACTATAAATTTGGTGTAATTGCTGATTGAAAGTCAAAGGAAGCGCAAACTCGTCTAAAGCCACTATGTGTAGTATTTGCAAATTTGTGACTTTGGTGCCACCTAGCACCTTGTAACAGACAACAATGCAACCATTATTTTATGCGCTTAGGTGTATGAGCATGCGGACGGCAGCAAAAGCCTGAAACTTGGAGACTTTGGTTTGGCGACTGTGGTGGACGGCCCCCTCTACACTGTCTGCGGGACCCCGACATATGTAGCACCTGAAATCATCTCAGAAACAGGGTAAGAGCATCAGTAGCAGAGTTGGGTACAAAATAGAGGAATGACGCACAGGCCACGGCCAATGTATGAGTCATGTCTTCATGCAGTTAGGCTGTAGGTTACAGCTTATCTTTGATACATCTTAGTCATGATATATCTTTGTCTTTGTGCAGGTATGGCCTTAAGGTGGACATCTGGGCAGCTGGAGTCATCACCTACATCCTGCTGTGTGGTTTCCCACCCTTTCGAGGGTAAGCTAAAAGCAAGCGCTATACACCACCGAGTAAAAATTACTTTTTACTCGCATAATGTCACATTCAGAGTTGTGTATGAGTTCCCCTAATGGCTTCTTTACTCCTGTGAACATTGTTGATCAGAGAAGTATTTTACTTATGAAGGCACACGTGGAAATGTTTTGTTTGCAGGAGCAGTGACGATCAGGAAGTGCTCTTTGATCAGATACTAATGGGACAGCTAGAATTTCCCCTACCGTACTGGGACAACGTGTCAGAGACAGCCAAGGTGAATATCTATGTTAGTAAGGACATCATCTGTTTGTGTGTGTTGTGAACAAAACTGACTTGATTCACCAATGTTTGTTTGCTGCTGAAGGAGCTGATTCGATCCATGCTGGAGGTGGAGGTGGATCAGAGATACACGGCCCTCCAGGTGCTAGAGCACCCTTGGGTCACTGTAAGTACAGCGTTAATTGAGCTCGCATCTATTGAGTCGCAATATCTTCCCATAAGTGCTGATTTTTTTTTCCTCTCCTCTCGCCTTGCTTGATACAGGATGAGGGTCTATGTGAGAACGATCATCAGTTGTCAGTAGCAGGGAAGATAAAGAAGCACTTCAACACCAGTCCGAAGGGCAACGACACCACTGCAGGAGTGTCAGTCATTTCTGTAAGTCACCACTACTACAATCTACAGAACCCATAAACCAACTTGTCTGACATATCTAAAGTTGTTGTTGAATTGGTTTGTACAGAGTTCTATAGTTTTCTGCAACATATTTTGAAATTCGTTTTTTTGTGCCTCCAAAGTTAGTTTGAAGCTTGTTCTGTTTTCAAGTGAACTGGTGTTTAGATTGATTGTGCTGGTTTCTCTTTGTATTCAGTTGGATGACAGCTTTTCTATGCAGAGATCTGGGTCGTTGGATTTCTACCAGCACCCGGCCATGTACTGGACAAGGTACGCCAGGTTTCCATAGAGATTAAACCCGGTAGATTTTCACAACAAAACAAAGGACAATAGTGTCTCTGAAATTGCTGCCTCCCTCCTCACTGCGTGAAGCTGACTGGCTGCTGCTGTGCTGCCTTGACAGCTCCGCCCCTGCTCTGTGGTCTTTGTGCTGGGCTTTCAGCTCCTTCCCATTCGTCTGTGTAAACACATCCTTGTTGTCCGTCTTTTGCTAATGCCTTGTCCTCTATGTTGTGTCACTGTATATCAGTGTCTCCTGGATTTCTGAGTGTGTCAATAAGGAAGTACAAGTTCCCCTTAAAATTACCTTTGTGGACGTGTGTCCTAAATCTCTCTGTTGAACATGTACAAAGTGATGTTAACTCTGTTCTCTTGCTTGTTCCCTGCCAGTTTAAGTGATTGTTTTGATCGATGTCATGCTCCCTAGCTGGCTGCCTCTAGAAATACCCACGCTTGCTATTAAGGTCCCACTACCCAACTCCTGCTGTGTGACTTTATCTACCATTGATTTATGGAGGACCTAGAAGTACATGTTTCTAAAGGTTCATAGTTATAATTGTACTGGCTGATATCTACAGTACACAGACAAGATGAATTAATAACACATGAATGCATAAATAAACACTTCAGGTGCTCATTAAACATAATTTAAGAACTGGGATGTTGAATCAAAGCTTTTCATTTAGGTTTTGATTTAATATATTTTGTATTTTAATACAATTTTTGCTTTTGTTTATCCCTCTTCTCACTGTCCAATTTAATATCAATTAATAACTTAAATAACATGTGCAAGGCTCTCCTGGTCCTCCATACTGGATTACTGTGTGACCAGATCCCGGTATTGGGTATAATCATAATGTTCTCCTGTTCCTCCCTCATTCAGGCCACCCCTCTTGATAAGGAGGGGCAGGTTCTCAGACGAGGACGCCACCCGAATGTGAAGCCACTGCCTTTGCAGATGATGCTAACAGTGACAACAGTAACAACATCAACAGCAAAATCACTACGGGCGGAGCCCCCCAGTTGCCTCCCTGGCCTGCCCATGGCCCCTCCCTCTCTGACCCCTGACACTTGCTCTGACCCTTCCCCGAACCTCAGCCTCCCATCTGACTCTGATGACATCTCCATCAGCTCAGCCAGTATCTTCTACTCCCCCATCTCGCCCTTCTAGAGAGGAGGCGGAGGGGAGGAGGAGGAGGAAGAAGCAGCAAGGAGGGAAAATCCTCATCCAGCTCCTCCCTCTATATGTAGGAGGAGGAGGAGGAAGAGACGTCAGCCTCCCCTCAGTCTCTTTTCTAAGGCTGGGGGTGAACAGGGGAAAACCGTGGAGGGAGGAACAACAACAACAAAAACAACTCGGAGAACTTTGAGCTCCACTGAATATATCTTTCCAACCTGGAGGAGTGATCGATCAAAGGGTGGATAGATGAAAAAGTGGGTTGAGAGGTTGAGATAAAGAGGCAACGAGAAACAGAGACCATGAAGAAGAGGGAAAAGGTGAAATGAGGCGAAATACTTTTTTATTTATTTATTTTTAAACGTTCTCTCATCTGAGCACATGTTGAAGAGCTCAAGGAGCGAGAAAGGGGCGACAGTATCGTTTACCCTTCTGTGATGATCCGGGCTCAACATGGAAACTTCCTTATGATGGAGCAGCTCCACAAGGCAATATGAGAATATGGACCAATGTTCATGTTTTATTGAACCTTATTTATTCATTATTTAGTTACTGCATTTTTTTAATATGTATTTCCCTTTTACATGAAGAATATTTCTTTGTTGGATTGTCCTAAGAGCTAGCAGGAACGACAATAATGGAAAAGTGTGTCAAAGTAGAGCTCAGAAATGTTGAAGTAGGCTAACGTAGGTTAATGTGGGGAATTGAGAGCTACAATGTGTAGAGGAGTGTTTTTCTTACCAATGTGTTAGATACAGTGTTCAGATAAATGATCAAAGACAGCATTTGTGCTATAATTCTGTGCACCACACAGTATTGGCATTGCCTTCCTGTGCTGTTGGATTGCAGTTTTAGAGTTTACATTTTACAGAGACTGCTATTAAGACAATAATGGTGCATTTGATCTCTCCATATAATTGTGTTAACTGCTTCACACATGACATCTTGGTACACAAAATTCAGCAGCATTTGGGTGCTTGTGTAGCAAACTCACATTTTGTCTTCATGCGCACAGTTTCACAATCATTCTGAATTTATATCATATTAATCTTAATATTTTGCAATGCTCATATACACATATGAAGCCTGGTTTATGTATTTTTCATACATAAACACTAAAGTCATATTTCATCCACATATTCCAGCAGTTAGGAAAGGTATCATTGTTGCAGCCATAGGTGTACCGGTTTGTATGGGTTTGGAGAATTGTTTTAGGTGGTAAATGAATACAATTAGCAGTTCATGAGGGCTGCCTATTTGCACAAAGTCTAGGTGCAGTCGAATTGAGAACGACAGTTGCCAGAGAACCAGCAGCACTCCTGGAAAGCAGTACAGTTAAAAGGACAGGAGATGATTCATTTCAGCTCTGTACAACCTCATTCATGACTTAATTTATTCAGATGAAAGCATGACAGACATACAGTAGCCTATTCTTAAATAAAAAATGGTTCTGTGATGAAGTATTGTTTATATGTTATGTAAATAACATAATTTCATTTATTTTGATAGTTCACAATACAGTATATTTATTTACTAGTAATGAGTTTATGAAAAATGTAAAAAAAAAAAAAAAATTCATACATGTCTATCAGTCAGTCGAAGAAAAAAACAACAATATCAATGTGTTGAAAAAGACCATTTCAACCTGATGTCCCACTTAGATGGATGTACTCAGACAAATCTAGAGAAGAAGAGTCCATCACCAAACACTGGGAATGATGTCACTTCCTTTGCAACAGCAACCGAAAAAGGGATTTCCAGTAATTGATGTGAGATAACAGACAGGAGAAGCCACAGGAGTATAAGAAGAGCGATTTCCTTTCGATTTTTAGGGATGATCTTCAATGGTTGAACTTGTCTGTATTTATTCTTATCACAACACAAACACAGTAATGTGCCACCATATTGACCAGATCAGTAGGAATTTGTCTAGCTGTTGAAATCCTCTCATTCCGGCACATGTGGTTTACCAAAGTGCTCTCACAGCTGCACTACAGTATTACAATCTGTTGCAATACCAATACTTGTACCTCTGTTCAACAATGGTGTATTAATAATAATAGTAATAATTAAAATTGGTTTCAAAAACAAATTCTCTGTGTTTTACTATGGTTTCATGTGTTTAGTTAGTTCGATTTTAAAACTTTAAAACGGACAGACAGTAGACAATTCATGTGATGGACCACGAAAGGTTCCCAAATCTCTGAGTTTGCTGCAGACGGATTTAATGAATTGTAAATTTGCCTTGTTTTAAAAAAGCACATCCTCCCACTCAGGTTTTTTTTGCTATTGTTAACAGTTATCTGCAGGGGTGGCACTTGACTAGAGGGGTACTTAATAGTTGTGAATCCCACAACAGTTGAAGCCAGAGACGATGGATCAAACATGTTCTGTACTTGACAGGGCAGGTGCTCAGCATACAGTGGTGATGATAGAGGCAACTTTCTCAGACCTATTTATTTAATGGAAACTTATTATGACTTCTCCATTGTTGCATAAAAAATGGACATACAGTAAGGAAAGACTTCATATAAAACAAAAGTGGGACAGGTAATATCCAAGTCACATTTTACAAACTGGTATATGAACTGGTTTAGCTCACCGGGTAGAGCTTGTGCCATTCACAACAAGGTTGTGTTGCAATGTTAGGGTTCAAAAAAGGCTTGAGCTTTCTTTACTTCATTCAGGATCTTTTTCAACATGACATTTTTCAACATATTTTACTTGGTCTTAAAAATCACGTTTTTGACATGAAATACAATGAATAGTTTTGGACATACTATATGACTTTTCATGACGTTTTTTCGACATTCTATGTTTTGACTTTATATAATTTTTTTGGACATAATATACTTGGTCTTTTAAATTACTTTCTAGTTTTTTTTTCATAAAATACAATGAATTGTTCTGGACATACTATACTATGATTCTCATGATGTTTTTTACTATGACTTTTTTCATACATATACTTTTTTTGACATATAGAGCGTTGAAAATTCATAAAACGGTCATATGTCGAAAAAAGTCATAGTATTGTATGTCATGAACATATCTTATAAGTCACAGTAGAGTATATCATACTTTTTTTTTTTAAACAGTACATTATTGTGTAATTTGTCATGATTATGTCATAAAAATGTCATAAAAAGTCATGGTATATTATAGCGTGTCACAAAAATGTATGACATTAAGCTATAGTATAGTATGCCATACAAAATCCTAAACATTGACATGAAAATCATAGTAATGAATTTCATAAAAATACAATATAGAAAATATCATGAAAATGAATGAATGAAAAAATGACAAAGAAATGTATAGTATAGGATGCTATAGTGCTAAAGGTCCCAGTCCAGTATGTTATAGAAATGTCGTAAAAAAGTCTTAGTACAGCTTACACACGTGATACATTTGATTGATTGTATAGTATTTTACAAAGAAATGTCAAAATATTGTATGCCAAAAAATAAAATAAAAATGTAATAGCAAACGTATAGTATGGCATATATATGCCATTAAAAATGTCGTAGTATAACATGTCATTAAAAATGTATAGTATAGCCATGAAAAAATCATAATAATATAAAAAAAAGTTATAAACAAGGTCATAGTATATTGTAGCGAAATTTTAAAATATACAAAATTGTTTATTTTCACAGACCAAATATCTCGCCCATCATGATCTGACTTTTTAATCCTTTATAATAACTGTGCTTTACTCTTATTTACTCTTTATTTCCTTGTGTTCCCCGCGCATGAGGCCGCAGGAGGTAGCAACCCTAGGTGTTTGGTCGGCATTATTATTATTTTAATGAATTAAAACTAATCAATTTAATGATGCATGCACAATTCGTCCTGTTAGATTGTAAAGGACGTTATTACCACCAAAAAAAGAGCATAAAGGCGCATGCGTTGCGTGTTGGCCACTAGGGGTCGCTATGTGTCAAATGGAGCCAATGCAGCGAAGAAGAAAATTATTGTAAACGAAAACAGTGACATTTGAAATCTATGGAAGTTGAATGGTAGGCGACAAGAAGTCCTACGATTTAATTAAAGTATGTATTTATGACACACCGCATTCTCAAACTGGACAGTATAGCAAACTGGAGGGGCAGCTGTGTGGGGTAAATAGCTAAGCGTTGTAACGTGAGCTGACTGCAGAGGTTTGATAGGTAGGTAGCTAGCTAGCTGCTGCTACAACCGCGATCATGAGTGAAGATGACAACTCAGCATCAGCAAACAAAGACAAAGACTCGACTCTGTTGTTCACTAAAGACGGGCAAAGGTACTACGTGAGTAAGAGCGGAGTAGTCGACAGCAGGAATGTGATAACGCCGCACGAACCGGAGAACAACGTCTCCTCTTACGACATGGACGATATGGACGAGGAGAGCGACGTTCTGGACACCTCGGATCCCAGGGACAGCGCCGCCAGCCCGGAGGAACTCAACGACGAGGAGACCTCGGAGGGCGACAACGCACCCAAACAGTGCACCTATGAGGGGTGCACGGAGACCACAACGCAGGTGGCGAAGCAGAGGAAGCCCTGGATGTGCAAAAAACACCGCAACAAGATGTACAAAGACAAGTACAAGAAGAAGAAGAGTGATCAGGCCATGTCCAGTGGAAAAATTGACGTAAGATTCAGATATAGATACTTTCATTTAAACCCACCATCATGGTGTGATAGAGTGTCCATACAAACCATACAAAGTAGACTTTTATTACAAACCGTCTCCACATCTAGATATTTTAGACAGGTGACTGAAGAAGAAATTTTACTGAACAACAATACAAACAAAACTCTCCCAGTTAATTGCGTGTTTTTGTGTATTTGCATCTGTCAATCAGGAAAACTCAGAGGAGCGGCCTGTGTCTGTGAACAAACAGCGTTTGGGTGCCATCGGTGACCGGCCAGCCAGACCCTCCCTGATCGAGCAGGTCCTCAACCAGAAGAGACTGGTGAGTCATAACTGGACACATTGACTGTCGTCCCATGATGACACCCCAGATGTAAGGGCCACCAAGAGCCTCCAGAACAGCCTGTGTAGCTTGGCATAGGGTGTGCGTTATTTTCATACTTGCACTATTCAGGGACCCCTTCCTTTAAGGGGATATGTGGACTCAATCTATGTCTGGAGAATGCCCCCTACTTTCAAGACAGCATCTGCATCCGTTACCTTTTTCCTTTACGTTAATGTGTCATCCATCTGTATGCATGTCCTCATTCTTAGCGTTGTATCTGTCTTATTTCTCGTAGTATGGGATCCTTAAATGTTTCCATGCTCAGCAGCAAGGCTAAATTGCAGAGCATGGCTGAACACATTATCCAAATGACTTGCATGCATCTGCTTAGTATCTAAGTGAACGAGTTTGAAAGCTATTGTGGGAGACATCACTTTTTAATGTACGGAGACATTTTGTCACAAGGCGCTCTTCTTCCCTAAAGTAGGCTTTGCATCTAGAGAAATATCTGTTTTTGCATTTTGCTCTGATATTTGAATGTGTGCGTTTCCTTCAGTCACTGCTCAGAAGTCCCGAGGTGATCAGCTTCCTGCAGCAGCAGCAGCAGCTCCTTGCCACACAGAGCCGCAGCCAAACACAGCAGCAGTTCCCGAGCTGTTGACGCCGGCCCGTCAGTGTTTTTGCACAGAGAGCACTGAAGAAACACTGGCACGTCATGCGTAAATGGTGCGTAACCGTGTACTGTGAACATGACTTTCTCCAGCCAGACAGCCATGCAGAAGAAAGAACAACATGGTGAGACTGGTGGACTAAACTAGGTGAACTGATCTAAATCCCTTAAAAGGCATGACTTTCTGGCCATGTCTGGTGCTATTTCTTTTCACTTTTACTTGTGAATTTAGTTTTTAATTCCCATTCTTTGTGTTAGTCCCCCGTCTTCATGTGACAATAATAATGATGGCATTGGATTGCGATCGTTTTGTCAAAGTTATTCAGATGTCGAAGTCTCAGTTTAACTGAATAATATTGTGAGCTCAATGTGAGCCTCCTGTCTTTTCCATTGCTGGAAAAAAAGAACATGGCCGTTTCTTTGTGTTTTTGAGTGTGTGTAATACTTTTCAGTCCGAATTATTCACTTTGTTTTTAGCCTAATGTTGTCTCTTTAACATGAACGTGTTGTTATATGTGACAATCAATTGTGTGATGCATGTTTGGAGCCCTGTTGGAGGAACTTTCAGGACTTGTTTTTACCACACTAACTGTATACAAAAAGGAAAACAAATCAAGTTTGGTTGGATTTATATTGATCATGCTAGCTATGTTGTGCTGTACGCTACTGTATGTTGATCCCGTGTTTTTAAGTTGAAGTGTATGTTCTGCTGTGAATATGAGTAAAATTATTAAGCTAATATTGAGAAATGTCTTCTTCTTAAAACAACTTTAATGGAACAAGTAAAAAGCAAACAGTCAAACAGTTAAAACATGGAAATAGAATACATACAACCGTAATAACATTTACAACACGTAATAACACTCGTATTTGAGTACCTTCAAATGTATCTTGTTTTTTCTTGTCTTGGAGTGCAGTTAATGTCCCAAAGATGGAGAGAGACGATAAATACCTTATCACAGTCTTGCTGAGATTAAGGAACACTTGATCATTTAACTACATGAGCTGTAAATTATATTCAATCACTCATGTGTTTCAGTTATGTGGCATGATGTGACAAAGCTGTGGGTAACACAGATTTTTGTAATTTAGTTTGAGATATCAAGAGAGGGCCCATAGGACAGAAAACCTGGACATAGTAGAACATACAGAATCTAGGACTACCTGTGTGGAGGACCAACAGCACACACACACACACACACACACACACACACACACACACACACACACGTGTGTCCATGTTATGACACTGAAGAAATAGGGTTGTGGGGGGACCCCATCTGTGTGAGCACTTTGTCCAGCCACTGCAGGGGCCCGTGCAGATGTACCTCGATCCAGCAGGGGGTGCTGGTCACATCTTGACGGTGGTATTCAGCACCCCAACCCTGATGAGAACACACAACAGTAAATCTCAGCTGCTCATGTTGACAGTTCAGTTAACTATTAAATGAGTGGGTGATCCCACCTTGTGTACAGTAGGATTTGACATGCTCAACAGCACATTAAGTCCAAAATAACAGCTTATTAAGTTACGTTGAGAAACCTGGAGTGGATATCGAACTTTTCTTATTAAGCCATATAGCTATCAAGCAAAAGGATGATCACCGACTGCATTTCTCTGGCTACATGTCGCCTAATCCCAATTGTTTAATTCACCAAGAAAGCTCAGTACCTTAACAAAGCTCATGCGGATGGTGCACATCTTAGTGAGCTCATAAACGACCTCAAAGCCGTGGTTAACCGACTGGGCGAGGAGCTGGGCAAACAGCTGGTTGTTGAAGATCTTGAGGCTGCAGCCGCTGGGGATCTTGCACACAGTGGTGGCGTGGAAGCCATGCTGGAAATTACAGTTGCGGCTCTGGACGAAGATACTGCTGTCGCTCAGACACTCTGCATACACCTCGCCGCCCACATAGTACAGGTGTAAACCTTAGAGGAATGGAGGAGAAAATCGTGAAATAACGAGTTGAATGTTTAAAACTAATAAGAGGTCCTTTTCCTGTGGTGCAAACGCTCGTAATGTCAGAGCAGCTTTTATCCAGGAAAACATCAAAGATATATTCTATCACTGTGTTGTTTACAGACTAAAAATACGGTGTTGTTTTCACATTATATAGAGCAAAACCACAATGGAATCTGCTTGTAAATAAGGAATGTCTGAGTAGTGTCTGTGAGTTAGGGACCAACTGCCCTCGACCCTTTTTGTAACCCCTATCATTCAAAACCACAAAGTGCACTGTTTACTGGAACCTAGAGAGGCTTGGTGTCTCTTGCTCCAACAAAGGCAAGGCTCTCTAAACTCTTTTATCATGAGACAAAAAATGGGCTGAAAGATTCAGTACAAGGAGACAAGCTGAGTGCAAGCAACTGCTTACAAAAGACACGCACTCAGTGGACATCTATCAAACAACCTTCCCCTGAATTCTTGCTTTGACGCCTGTGTTCTGATATGAATTACCTGCACGAGTCGTCCAGCCTACCTTTGCCTATGTGCCTGCGTGTGTGTTCGATGGTGGAGTTGCGGTTGACATTGGATAGCAGGCCGAGGCAGAAGCGGTTCTTGTTGTTGGATGGGTCTGTGAAGCCGTCCACCAAGACGCTGCGGGATGACGCGTGGAAAGTCTCCCCCACCCGGTTGTTGAGCTCGTAGTAAGCCACTGAACACCAGTACTCTGGTTCCTCGTAACATACAGGCCGTAAATCTAAACAGGAGCACAATGAAGGGTTGACTTAGAGGTGGGCATTAAGGATAAAATAGGCCATGGTACATTTCATGACGGATACTTTATCAGATGGATGCAAACAATTCTACACATTCCCTATAGTGGCAAACGTACAAGTGGAGATATTAATGCCTCAGTATAAATAGTATAACAACATCTCTATCTGACACATATATATATATATATAATCTCCTGGTATAGTGCTTGTCATTTATTAGCCGTAAATACTACTTAAATTGTATGCTTTTCTATCTTCTGCATATCTCATCTTGTGTGAACTGAAGTTACCTCTGTGCGGAGAGGAAAACGTGAGTTTGAGGGTTTCTGTGGAGTTGCTGGGCTTCACATCATCTGGAGGGCTTGTCTCCATCATGCTGTATGGAGGTGGGGGAGTCTCTGCTGGAAGAGCACGTCACCAATTACAGGGACAGGATAAAAAGTAGTCGATGTGCACTCAGAGCATGAATAAAGTCAGAAACCTGCTGGCATGACAGGTGTTTCCCTGCTATCTCACATAGACCGTAACACTTGGAGTATCAGCTTGCTCGTTTTGGTTCCTACCTGTGATGTGATACGGACTGCCAGGCTCTGCAGAGCTGTTGGGGGAGTTGGGGTAACTCTGTGAGGTGGGAGACTGGATGAGGGAGGAAGTAGAGGAGGAGGAGAAGGAGGAGCAGGGCAGCGTGGGGAAGGAGTCTGGGTAGGTGGCGTTCTGGGGCATCAGAGGCTCACTGTGCAGGGAGGCGTTCCTGAACTTTGCCAGTAAACTGTGTTGAGGGTTGAACTCGCTGTGGCGTGGGACCAGAACTGGGGGAAGCACTGGGAGGAGACAAGAGAAAGGAAAGAACAAGGTAGTGAGGGAGTGAGCAGAGACAAAGGGACCCAGAGCAAGACCAGATGCTGTTATGAAAGATCATATTACTGCAAATCCTTTTGCCCTGGGAACACTGTATCAGATCAAATGTCCCGTCTCCGTTTGGGAACCCACAAAAGAATTACTGTCATGATGTAAAAAAATCAACAATGACCGTATTATTTTACAGCAAACTCGGAAGATGTTCTCTGATAATGTGTTTACCTGGAGTCTCCACGCGCCTGTAGTGGTAAGGGTTGACACAGATGTCCTTCTGCTTAGAGCTGAAAGCAAACTCACAGCAATCCAAGGCTTTCAGCTCGTGGTGGGACTGCAGGTCAGGCCAGCGCCACACCCTGCAGTAGATGACATGGGGCAGCCCCTTCCTATGGGACACCTGCAGCCTCCCGTCCAGCGACCGAGGAATCGTCACACACTTGCCTGAAGGAATCAAATGAAACAACATGGCCCTCAACACACCTAGAGTAAATCTGCAGATTGTGTTTAAACTTCTGTTGTTTGTTTAATCATTTATTGTCATGATGATAGCTCATAATAGTGTGAAACCTATGACCTCACAGGTATGAAACATCCTCTTTATTAACTGTAGTGGTTCCCAACATCTTTACCTTATGACCCCCTGAAGTAAAGCAGCAAAGCAAATTGTTTCATTCAAATAATTCTTACAGGCCCAGAGAGGTACAAGTATCAAGTTTTTCACAAGACATCGGCAAAACAATGGACATTAAAGTCCAAAAAATTACATTATTTTGTCTGGCAGAACTATGTTTTGTCTTCTTTCCTAATAATCATCTTATCGCTCCTCATGTTTATCTTGTGACCCCCCTGGATGGGTTCTGACCTCCAGATTGGGATCTGCTGGACTAGACCACAACTGGACATTTGAGACTGATACTCACTGGGCTGACCAGGACAGCTGAGGGCTCTTTCCAGCTCCTCCATTGCCCCCTTCTTCTTCTTTAGTTTCTTCACTAGAGAGTCCACAGCCTTTTCCGCCCACTTCTCCTCCTCATCCCCTTGTTTCCAGCCGAGCAGGCGCTTCACCGCTGGGCTGGTGAAGGAGAATAGGGATGTAATGGATGTAGAGGAGTTCATTATGAGATGGGTAAATGGGTGGCGAGATGAGGTGATGGATGCGTTAAAGGAATAATAGTTCCCCTGAGGACAGGAGTGAGGAGTCCAATAATAAGAAGCCAGGACGGAGCAACGGGTAAAAGAGGTATCGTGGTGAGTCTGTGCAAACAGAGCAGCACCAGTGGCGGAATTGAACTTCCCAAGTGCAGCACACACTCTAAATCCCCTCTCTGTGTTGGCACAGAAGGGATCCGGCAGCTCTAGATTTGAAGCCTCCTGCAGGGAAGGTTATTCCTTACAGTTGGAAATCCAGGTCAAGTTTCAATCATCTGGCAAGAGAAGAGAGAGAGTATTAACTTCTAATTTAGCTGAAACAAATGCATGGTTGGAGAAATAGTTCAGTGGTTAGGTAGAAAAGAGACCATGGGATTAAATTGTAAGGGGGATTTAGCACAGTGAAATCAAAGACTGAACGCCACATGAGCAAAACCTACTCATATTTAACAATCTGGGCATTAGAGGTGTACTTCCATGATAAGGAGGCTGGATCAGTAGGACAATGATACATAGACCATGGCTGTATCAAACTGATCTCCCACAACAACAAGGTTGTTATTTTTCTACGGAGAAAATGCATGCCATACCGTTTCAGAAAGAGCAGGGCAAGATGGCCAAGCTCATTTCTAGATTCACCAACAATGAGGAATGTCCTTTCTGGCCTCTGTTTCTATGATCATGCCACTGACGCCCAGGAGCCATACTGTCTGGCCAGAACACATCACAGGACAGGAGAGGGGGAGGGAGGGAGGGAGAGCTCTCCCTGTTTTTGTGTCTTTCTTTCTTTCTTTCTTCTATACCACCTACTTTTAAGCTGGACAGAAACAGACAACATATCTACTCTATTCCAATATATGTAGGTTACCTTTTGAGTCCCAAATAAACTCTTTAGAGCGCATCACTGCAGCAGCCCCACTTTACTGATAAATCACTCACTTTCCCAAATATACAGTAAAGTATGTCTGTAAGTTTATGGTGGTGATCTACTTGTAGCAGAACGTCTTGTGGTACGGAGAAGGCTATCATGTGTGACACAAAGTGTTTGTAGTGATGTCATAGATCATTTTTGCACGTCAGATTATAACCGCTCGTTTGCTCGCTCTGCTCTTCATGCACGCCTGTTTGTTTATGCTCATCTAATGCAGATTAGGAAAAAAACACTCTAGGCATGCAAAGCGCTTATAAACGGTAAACTAAAAACTCTTCTGACCACAGTTGTTGGCTTGGACGCCTGATTATTCTAAAATACACAACAGAACCTCGTTCGTGTTTCCGAGACTCTGTGGCTTTCAAAATAAGATGGATCTCAAAATACACACAGGTAATAAGAAATGTGAATCAGCATTATGTCCTATATGGTTATATATGACCAAAGCTGATTTCCCTCAGGAAAAAACAAAAACAAGACAGCTGAGGTTTACAATGACAGCAAAAGCGCACGAGCTCAATGCGGCATCAGTCTGCCGCTGGTGCTTTATGGAGCCTGGCGTCACTCAGTCTGCAGGCTCAGATAGGCTAATTACCTAATGCTTTATCACCAGGACACCCCTTCCCTAAAAAGTAAACACGCCAGCTTCCCTTTACTACGACTACATTGAGTCATTTTGCTGCGAATAAAACAATCCAGGATCTTCACTTACCTATAAACGAAACACCTTGACGGTAAACTACAACACGTGATCATAAGCTCGGCAACCAAAATCATCCTTGATAACATGTCACACATTCAACCAGTCAGTTAAATTAAGACCAAAGAGAACAGAAACAACACTTGAATATTTGTGGTCAAAATAGAGCTATCTATTTATTATCGATTTATTCTCAGGTATACCATTAGCCTATATTTGTTTAACCCCAGTTCTGTCAATATATCAAAAATAATATATAAAGTAGTACAACATTGAATCCAAAGAAAGCTGTGCGTCAGTACCCGTGAGCATATTACTACGAGTATTTCACAACAAGCATCTTACATTTTCAATTTACCAACAAATCCACCAGAACAGATATAAAACAGCAAATTGCTAGTTGTGGAAATATATAAGGTGTTTATTTACTCACCTCTGTTGTGATGACAAGTGCACCACAGACAGCCGTGTGCGTGTGGAGAGCCAGTCTGTAGTAAGTCGAGCCAGCACACTGGAACAGCGAAGGTGTGTGTCTGTGTGTTTGCGCGCGCGCGCGCGCGCGTGCGTGTGTGTCTGTTTAAGCGTGTGTGTTGACTTTGAAGTGTCAAGTCAGTCACAATACAAATTACATCCAGTTGAACATTTCAAAATAAAAGCGTTGTTGACTAAATGTCGCCTTTGCGTTGCAAGGTGACAGAGGAAAACGAAAGTAGTAGGCCTAGAGATGAGTTCAAAAACAAAAAATGTGTTTGGTACCAGAGGAGATACTAAAACAGGTTAGAACACAACAAAAGTAAATTCAACAATTCAATCTGATTTTACATATAGCCTATGTGTAGATCCCCATTAGATGGTAATAGACAAATGTTGTTGCATAAAGAAGTGCAAGATATGTTTTTCATAACTTATTTTCATAATCTGTTTGAATATTTACAGTATATATATAAATTGATGAATGAATATTGATTCCTTGTATAAAATTATTTTTACATTTGTGTTATTCCATTCACCATTGTGTGCTCCAGTGCTTATTGCTTCAACACAGAAGAAAGTAAATAAATTTGATACTAGGAATCAATATTTATCCATTTTCTATATTTAGAATGAGTCAGTGAAACACATTTAATAAGCATATTTAAAGAGCACCAATTGGGTCTAGGTTAGTTGAGATGAAACAATCAATGTTTCTATATTTTTATTTTGCAAATACTTAATACTCACCACTTCCATTTATTTCCCAGAGGCAAACTCCAGATATCTCAGCCAAACAACGCTCGTGCAGGTCATCGCTCATAGTTCAACTACAAACTATTGAATTCTCCGCTTGTATTGTGAAGGTACAGCCACACTACCTTCCGGTATGTCCTGGCAGTCTGCGGCCGCCTTGATGCAGGTTTGAAGAGCCCGGAGCCTCCGCTCCTCCAGCAGCCCCAGTCGAGCGCCACACAGCCTCGGCGGCGTCAGCTTGGCTGGAACCGCAGCGCCTGCATGTAAGATCCCTCCGCCTTCCCCCTCCTGGAACTTTCACAGAATATCAGGGACTTCAGATTCAGGCACCGCAGCTGCATGCACGTGCGCTCGTAGCCCCACCTGAGCCATCGGTCTCCTGGTCACTGGCTCTAACGGAGGCCAGGGAATAAAACAATCACACCTGTTCCCCTTCAGACTAATTCTTATAAAGGACATAGACATTCATTCAAAACAATTGCTACAATAGTCTATACTGTTATTTCTTTGTGTATCATACCTGAATCATTCTTAAAGTTAAGATTCGGTTTGTTTTTTAGTCTTTCATTCATGTTTGGTTATTTTCTTATGTAGGCCTACAGGTTATTGTTTAATAATAATAGGATGAAGGTGGCGGATCTCGGTGCAATGATAATAGAAGTGAAGCATCCATTCCATGAGTTATCTTTTACCTTTAGATATCAGGTTGCCAAAAGATAGGTGATGGGAGCCGTGTTTAACTGGGACTCATGAAAATACCATTAAATAACTATTTCGGCTATTGCACTATTACTTTAATGTGCACGCGCGCACATGCACAGACCGAAAATCAAGCTTTTTTTTTCCTCTTCATATAAGGGAAGTTGTTTTAATATCTATTGTTGTTGAGCCATGAGGTCTTTGGCATTGCGGATGGATACGATCCTTTATCGGGAGTGCCGTGGCTAGTCCAGTTAATGACGCAAGCCCGGCTGGCGACAGCGAGTCTACAAGTTTGACATTTTCAGTTTACAGCAACTGCTGCGGAACTCAACAATCCTCCCGGCACGAGGTGAAAGCACTCTGGGAACCCTGGCCAAAAAAACTTATGATTTTGATCAGGATAAAACTGCCGTGTGTCACAAATATAGGTGGTGGTCTGTCAAAGCCAGGTATTTCCAAAAACTAGTCCGGGTACTCAAGGAAGACGCGAGGAGGTTCTCAGGGCAGAACGAGGAGCGCTCTAAACGAGCACATAAGAAAACAACCCATCAATACGTGTGCTCTCAGAGTATTTATTTGGCTTCCAGTCTTTCAATTAATGGTCATAGGGACATCACACACAAGTTAAGGTGAAAACTTCTTCCCGCAGTGACTCGGGTAGATCAGTGAAATACCCCTTTCATGTAAATTGCGTCACCTTTTTAACTGAAGCGCTGCCTCCAGGCAGGAAACCGCAGCCAGAGTATGGTTCATCAGCTCTCTGTGTCTTGTCTGGCGGCAGAGGGCAGACAGACAGACTAGCAGGCAGGGCACAAACAGGATGCGCTCCCCGGGGCCCCTGAGCGACATCCGCATCTTTGTAGAGCCACAGACCTCCGGCTTGCATAAGAAAACAGCACTATGAAGAACTTCATTTGCTCAGACCGCAAAAACGCTTGCTGGACGCTTTCCAAGATGTTCACATGAGGTTTAGGAGACAGGCGAAGGCTTTAGTAATAAAGGGTTTCCCCACTCTCTTTCTTGCCAGGGAAAGGGCAAACTCATGATGATGATGATGATGACCCCTAGCTAACTTCATCTGATGATTTAAGTTAAATCTAATTTTATACCAATTCTACAAACAGCAAGTGGGGTCAGATCCTGCAGATTTCTCGAAATAATATTTAACTGATCTGCTCCTGGGCCTAGTTCCTTCCGAAGGATGTCCGATCCCCAGTTTGGGAAACAGTGAGTGTTAAGATGGTGCATCTGACACATTTTGCAGTTAGACATCAAGCACTTAAGAGAAAGATGACATTAGCAGTGTGAGGCTTTGGGTGTGACTGTGCAAAGAAGAGACAGGATACCACATACCACAGTTTTAAATGTTAAACAGTGAAGCAACTCATGAGCTCCATGAGAAATCACTGCTATTTTTAAACAAACAACACTGGAAATAAGTCCTCAAGCTTAAAGATTTAGAAAAATATATCAGATTTTTTCAAGCACAGCTGTTACTGGTCCAGAACTCTGCAGCTATGGCTTAGAACACATGGGAACATGTAGATCACACAGTACACTAGTTAAAGTGCATCTACTGGCTTCATATCACCTTATGATTGATTCTCAAGTTTTCTAGCTGCTCCCAGATCAGAGGCGGCCCACTAGGTGATCATGTTTTTACCGTTGGCTCTCCCCGAATCTCAAAGAGCGTCCCACAGAGTGTCAGTCAGAGAAGCCAAATCTGTGCTTTTTTATATTGACATTAATTCTCTCTTTTCTTCCTGTGAGAAATCATTTCCGTTTCAAAAAGTAATATGTAAAGTCTGTTGTTTTTTTCCTGCCTGTAGTAGGGCTTCATCGATTACTGACTATGGTGACAACATTAAATACACTTTGTTATCCGATTAACAGTTAAAAAAAACAAAACATAATTTTAATTTCACCCAATGTAAGACCAAAGATGGCAGCAAATTGAGTGTGAGAATATAGAATGCTCAAATGTTTGCAAGAAAAATAACTTTAACGATCATTTATCAAAATAGTTGCAGAGGAAAAGTCACATTTCTGCTGACCGACTAATCGATTAATCGACTGATTGTTGCAGTTGTAGTTTGTAGGTTAATAACGATCATTAAATCATAAATCATTAACCTTTTTTATTTTGGTTCAAGTCATATAGTCCATCAATCCACGGTCATGTTTCCTTTAAAAATACAACCTCTCCCTTTTGAAAATCTCATATAGTAACATTCATTCTACTCATCCGAATCATGACACACAGATCCTCCACATTTCACTACAAGGCTCTCTCACTTACAGCTGATTGGCCACAAAATAAACAGAGATGTGCATGTAACAACGGCCATCACAAGCGGAAATCCAAATAAAAAAAAAAAAAAAAAGGCAGGGCCCATGAAGAACTCACAACTGTGTCAACACTTCACACCCGATGACATCTGGAGAGGGAAAAGATGATGCACTTTGTTCTTGATTACAGTGATTGACGGACACAGTTGTTCATCCCACCTCATCCAAAGGTTTGATGGCCCTATCATAGGCTGTCTCTGTGACACCAGGGCTTGTCTGATTGGCTAGTCAGTCTTCCGTGGTGACTGCAGTTTCCAGGCTCTGGTGAAGTAGCGCAGGCGAATGAAAATCAGGTCTCGTCCCATCTGCAGCCAGCTCCAAAACGGGACCAGCTTGGACCCTGGCAGAGCAAACGCAAAGGGATTTCAATAAATACTAAGCCAGGTCTGCTGACATTTACTGCCGATAGTCCAATAAGTCCATCAGTAAAGACTTAATCACTTAGTAGTCCAAGTAGTAGTTGTAGTAGTTGAGTGAAGCACCGACAGGGAAGCAACACTTACAAAGTAAAAGTCAAGTCTAAAACACAGATACATGACGAACAAAAGACAACAAAATAATAAACATCTACAATACGCAATTATGAACTAAATATTATTATAAACAAGGAATAACTGGAAGATACATAAAATCAGCCAACAGAGATATTTATAGAAGGACAGCACAGTGTGAGGACTCATGTCCACATATTCCATGAAAATCCTACCTTCTATTTCAGTCCAGTTGACCGCCACCTCTGCTATGGGGATTTTAAAACACTGGGCAATATACAGGAGCTCCGCATCAAAAGCCCTGTGAGAACAAAGAGAAAGATGAAAGTGCACAACAGATTAAAATTCATGTTCAAACAATATGCAGCCTCTCCAATCACAAAAAAACAGCTATAATCATGACATGTTTGCAAGTGCCAACAGCTGCTATGGTCAAATTATTACAACGATTATATCTATCTATCCATCTCTAGATCCATCGGTACATTCTTGCCACATGATGCCACGTTGGGATTTTAATAGTAATAGATGCTCATCTGACAGAGATCATCAAATACAGCGTTATAACCAAGCGAGGCGAGGAATCGAGGATGTACAAACTGGGCAGTGGGAAAGGCCCCTCTTCTCAGGGCTGTGTATGTGTGTGTGTGTGTGTGTGTGTGTGTGTGTGAGGGCTTCATTGACATCTTCCTTCACTCTCCTGTTAGTTTGTTGCACCTCTTAGGACGGGACAACTTACCATATTGTTTTCAAAGATCCAGCACGAGCAGCTCAACAGGCTTACTCTTTTAACACAGAATGCACATGACGGCCGTGATCGCATCACTACACTAAGTCGTTAAGTGTGCCTGGTGGAGTGCGAGTCCTTACCATTGCTCTACATGGAGAGCAGAGAAGGTCTTGAGCGCAGCCTCACGTGTGAAAAGCTTGAATCCGCACTGTGTGTCCTTGATCCCTCTCACGCAAAGGAACCACACCAGGAAGTGAAAGCCATACATGAGGAATGTACGAAACATAGACCGCTGTATCAGAGACACACAACAGCGGTTATTTAATGGTTAGACGGACACATTCTATAATACTACAAAAAATGACAGACAGACAGTTACCTGTGCTACTGAGTCATCCTCCAGGTGAGCTCTGGAACCACAGGAAATTGCCATGTTCTCCTAAATGTATAGACAGACCTTTTTAGGATGGCCACACACTAACCACCTCACAAAACAAACAAACTGAACAACAGCACCACAACACACCGGTTTAGGGTTGAGGGCATTAAGTCCAGCCTCCACTTTCTCAATGTCAGAAAACTTTGTGGCTCCGTCAGCATCTGCCATCAGAATGACTTTCCCTCTGGAGCTCAGAGTTCCCTTTAGGAGAAACAACACGACACAGTAGAATCAACACAAATACACAATCCATACTTTTGTGCTGCATTCAGACGTATTGTAGCCGAGTATCTACATGCTCACCATCCGCACAGCTCCTCCTTTCCCCCTGTTCTTCACCAGTGTCAGGATCCGCACTTTATCCGCACCGTACTTCCTACTGTAGCGCAACGCAACCTGGCAGGACGGCAAAACAGCCAACAAATAAATCTCTATTGGTATCACTTTGAAACGTCTGGCTCAGCAAAACACTAAACACTCTTAGTAACAAAGTTTTAAAATGATCACCTCTGTGGTTTTGTCTTTGCTGCCATCGTCAACCACGATGACCTCATAGGTAAAAGAGGGCTGCTGTTTCTGCAGTAAGGAAATAACACGAGGGATGTTAACATTCCATGTTGAATGCTGCCACCTACTGGTCACTTTGAGAATAACGGATCCAGCCTTCAGAGCCTTCTTTCAGGGGATGATAAAACTGCATCTGCCTTTCATTTTATCATCAATTCAAACATTTTCAGATCCAAACTTATCCTTCACAATAAAGAAGTAATGATAACGATTTATTTTATCGTTGCCCACATGAGACTGAGCACTTACCTGTCTGTTTTCCAAGTACTCTGTAGCTTCATCCAACATCACCGGCACTGTAATGAAACATTCACACGCATTTTAGCGCCTATAATCTACTGCAGGTGTGCAGTGACATAAAGAGAATGGGATTATGGGAAACTGCACCAAAACACTGAATGCTTGTCAATTGCTGGTGCATCATTCGACGTGGAGTAAACTGATGCAATTACATAGCTATTTCCCAACTGGGTTAACATGTCTTTTTTTACAGTCTGCTCGGACTTCATTCAAGTAAAGCAGAAAACTGATGGGACATCAACAGACAAAGACTCTCACTTCGAAGTTCCTCGTTGTAGGCCGGGATCACCACTGAGAGCTCCCTGGAATGGGGATCATGCAGGCTGGGGAAAAGCTCCTTCTCTCCTGACGCGGTGAGGAAGTATTTCTCCTTCTCGTGGCGCGTCAGGTTCACCATCTCGGCAGTGACGTGTGCTACAATGAGCACCTGAAAAGGGAGAAAATGGCACTCTTGTTACTCTTGCTGTCAGGTAGTTTTCAGAGTTTTTAAACACAAGTGTAAAGACATTTTTAACATAATTGACGGGAACTGTGTAAATGTATTCTATACTTTAGAACATGTACTATTTGTATAATGTGGAACACCTTCGATAACTAAATCTGAATGTCAGAATTTAAACTAAAGTCTGTATTGTAGCAGAGACACAGCAGTCTAATGAACTTCTAGTGTTGTTATTGTGTGTCATGCTTCAGTTTCATGCATTACACCTGCTTTTTGTTATATTCTGTTTACAGTTTGTTTTCTTAATATATTTTGAATTCCTGGGCTTTGAATTTCTGTATCATTCGTTTGATAGAATCTGTGTTTGGGCATTTAGTTGTTGTAGCACCAAACAAATCAAATGACTGTCTTTTTTCATTATTGCAGGGTTAGTTATTGTTTTCCACATTTTAGAGGACTAACGTGATCTTGTTGCTGCTTTGGAGCATTTAGGTCAAGACTTCCTCGAGATTAATGTTAACAACTGTTGTGTTTACAATCAAACGCAGAAAGGAAATGAGGGATCATACAATTAGAGGAAAGTACAGGAGAATGACTACATTGCTTCAGGACTTATTATGGAAAAAAAAATAAAAAAATCACACAGAGAATATATCATAACTACTTACCACAATAAAACATAGAGCTGCCAATGCCACCAAGGCTTGAACTATTTCACAGAGGAAATCCATTTTTCCATAAGTTAGCCTGCACCAACTGACAGACCCTAAGTGTCCTGAATATACAAGAAAAACACAAGCTGTTAAAGGTGGAATCACTCTATAAGAGTGCTTCTATTTTCCACTTCCAATCAAAACTGAACACAGCGGCGACACGGAAGTAGCAGGAATTTCTCGATACACATCATCAGTTTGAGGCAAGAGAGCACCGAGCAGCGCTACGGTAGCCTGCAGCGGCCACACTGCCACCTAGTGGACAGGAGGGGGAACGACTGAAATAACTTGATTATTAGTAGGTAAAAATGTAGGTTGTCTCTCATTGTTGCGGTTATAGAAAATTAATATATCAGTGAGTTAAGAAAAATATCAAATACATTTTTTTTGACTGGTATCAAGCACAATTAACATGATAAAGATAGTAAGAAAATCTATTTAAATCAAAATCGAATTGTATTGCCTGCGCGCTTCCTCCTGCCGGCTACCGTAGTACTCACCCACGTGGTTAATCAAAACATCATGGCGGCTGGTTTCAAGTAAGGCTGACAAACTCTAGCGATTACACCGAAAGTAACACTATTTATATGTTAAATCTTTAGATATGACATTATTCTTATCAGATCTGATCATTGGCTGATTTTAGGGAAACGAGCACACTTCATTCAGACCTGTTAAAGACGTGTGTTCTGTTCTGGTGATGAGCAATGCAGCTAATGTAACAGTGTAAGCTACGTACAGTTAAGTCTCACTGCTCAATAGTTATCTAATAGCGTCACACGAGAGAAACAATAACTAGCTTATGCAATGAGGCGTTTCTCGCTGCCCTGCTATTACTGATCTGATCACAGGAGTTTGTAACTGATATCTGTCATATATCAGCGGATCTGTCGCAACGGATACATGTATTCATAACAGTTTCTGTCTCTGTAAGCTAATATCTACTCTCCCTTTCCTCCCTTCCCTGTTCACTTGTGCACTCCCAGAGTTGCTGAGCCTCTAGAGTACCACAGGAGATTTCTGGTCAGTGATTGAAACACTGTAGTTGACACAAGTTTGTTCTGCAAAGTGACTTGTTACGATTTATTAATAATGTCAATGTCAGCAGTTATTTAACACTCAAATGCTCCCTTTTCAGAAAGAGAACTGTCGCCCTGATGGACGGGAGCTGTCAGAATTCAGAACCACGACACTAAACATAGGTGAGACACAGCGTTAATTGTCTACAGTATACATTATGAATTATTATTATTATAAGGATGATTTTCTCTGACTGCTCTGTTCAGGGTCCATATCCACAGCAGATGGCTCAGCCCTGGTAAAGGTTGGAAACACCACAGTCATCTGTGGCATCAAAGCGGTAAAATCATCATGAACACAGCAGCTTAAAAACCTGATTTGAATGAATCTGGACCAGGTGACCCAAATGTTCTCTGATTTCTTGTGTTTCTTCATCCGCAGGAGCTGACGAACCCAACAGTGGAGGCACCAGGTAAAGGTTACATAGGTAAGTACAGTACGATGGTGTTAAGGCAAGGTACACTAAAGGCAGTCCAAATAAATAAACAAACCAACACTGTCCATCCTTCTTAGTGCCCAACGTGGACCTGCCGCCACTGTGTTCCTCTCAGTTCCGGCCCGGTCCACCGGGAGAGCAGGCACAGGCTGCCAGCCAGTTCATCGCTGATGTAATACAAAGGTGTGACAGACTTTTACACACATTGTAGTTTTCATTTCACAGCACAATCATGTGTCTGCTAACTCTCTAAATGTCTGCTTCTGCTTTTATTAACCCACATTTGTTGCAGCTCTGGGGTGATACAAACAGAGGAGTTGTGCATTGAAAGAGGGAAGGTAAATCCATGCATGTGAAACTGGAGCCGTTGGGACTGCGATTGTTGTGAAAAGTTGGGTCATTGGTCCTGATTCTGCCGACTCTGCTTGTAGCTCTGCTGGGTGCTCTACTGTGACCTGATATGTCTCGACTACGATGGGAACGTGTTGGATGCTTGCATCGTTGCCCTGCTGGCTGCCCTGAAGAACAGTATGTGCTCTATACAAAAAATTAGCTGTTTTGGAAGCAGCTTTTCATATATTATATTCATATATTAACAGTCTACCTGCTCCCCACAGCACAACTCCCAGAGGTCACCATCAGCACAGAGACGAGTTCACCAGTGGTGGATTTAGAAAAGAGACGTGGGCTGCATATTCACAAACATCCAGTCGGCGCCTCTTTTTGTGTCTTTGATGAGTAAGTCAGTGGATTTGTTTGTCTAGCCAGATTGAAAACTTGATTCTGTGTTCATAACTTTTGTAACCCTGACCTGCTCTCTGTGCAGCTCCATACTGATCGTAGACCCCACAGCTGAGGAGGAGAGTCTGTCGACCGCTCACCTCACCGTGGTGACAGATGATGAAGATCGACTCTGCATTGTACATAAACCAGGTCAGAAACACAGTCCGTAATGATTCGCCTCTTCCTGTGGAGCGTCTACTCTGTGTGAATCACATTTCTTATTGACTTCATAAAAGGAAAAAACTCAGCAGGAACTCCCCATTGTTAAAAATGCAGAACTGAAGAAGCTGATGTGCCCCACAGTTTTTGGTTTAAGAATACAAATGTTACATTTTCTACAATTAGCCCAGTTCATCTTTTGATTTATTATAAACTTCTTTAGTATTTTTAGAGTCAGAAATAGCAGGCAATACAGGTTAAAAAGTCAAAGTAAAGCTGCCTATATGTTCGCTACTTTAAAAGTAGAAATACATTTTAAAGTTTTGTAGACTACATTCAAGTACAAGACTCCAAAATGAATCATATAAAGTGTACTATGAGGTTGAATGGAAGGAAAACATCTCTGCTCACAATCTTTCCCTCTGGCTCAGGTGGGACGTGCCTGTCGGGAGACAAGCTTCAGGAGTGCATCAACAGAGCAACAGCGAGACAGAGAGAGATCCAGAAACTCATCGACAAAGTGATACACAGTGTGAAGGCGGCACAATAAAGAGCCTCAGACGCTTTTTTTTTTTTTTTTTTATCTAAAAGCTGTATTTTCCACTGTCAATATATATTCTTTTTTTTCTTTTAATAACAATAAAACTGCTGACAAAGACTGCTTAAAAAATTATTTCTCAGTGTACAGAAATGTCTCACATACACACTCAATTGATGTCTCATAAGAATACGCTCATGGCTCCTGAACTAATTAAAAGGAAATACCTTTTTTTTTTTTTTTTCAAAATGTGCTGTACAAAAGCAGATACACCGTCTTGCATGTTCATCTTGAGTCCTCGGTTGAGCCCTGTGCCTGGATGGCTAACAGAAGAAAGACTTCCAACAGACTTGAGAGGTAGAGAGCTGCCCCAGGCACTACTCCAAGATTAGATTTGCATTTTCACATGTAATGGTTATATGGAGGATTTGGTGTCAAAAAAAAAAGCTCACTGGGATCCGCGCTTAAAGGGCAGTGTCTGCCGGTGTCGACCAAGCAGAGGCAGGAGAGTCAAGACACGCTCATGAGAAATCCTCTAAGAATGTGTATTCGTAATCCTTTCAGCCCCCGTGGTGAAAGGTCTTCCTGAAGGGGCGATGTGTTATTGTGAGAGCCTGCCACCTACGAGAACCATCTTATTCTGTTTCATTTCAAAAAAAATATCACTAAAGGTTCTTTAAGTGTAGGGCTCCCTGGTCTTAAAACCACCTCCCCTATGGTGGACAGAGTTTTGGTTCTCCAAAACCTCTGACAACCTTTACATACAAATTTGTCAGCTAGAAAAAGACACAAAAGGACAAAAAAAGTCTTTTTTTTTGTCTGCAGTCTCCACAGTGAGGCAGACAAAGAGCACAGTATCATTCATGTCCTGGTGTTGCTGGGGGAAGGTTTTTGTTTGTTTAGTGTGATTTTAGTCTGTCATGACTTCGGGAGGGGCTGTGGCATGCTCCTCTTCCTCTTACTTCTTGGTTGGCTGGCGGTATGTTGCCGTGGTGCTCCCCCCTGAGGAGCTGCTGCTCCCATAGCCATTTGCTGCTGCTGCATTTGGTGCTGCAAGAATTGCAACTGTGCAAGTGCAGAAAAAAGATGGAAAAACAAAAAACATCAGGGGAGATGTCAGTATGTTACTGCAAACATCATAATGCATGTTTCCATCAGTGAATCTTAGGTATAAAAAAAAACAAAAAAAAAAAACATTCACTGGCAGACTCCCTCAAATGATGTCTTAGCTGATCAGCTGGATGCTTTGTGTCATAGAACTATAACTATCCATCAGTGCCATGGGTTAGTGAAGCTGAACTAAAGCCTGCTATGACATACAAGAGGAGTGTGCGGAGAAACACAGAAGAGTGGTTAATGGGTTGCGGAGGGGAGGGAGAAGAAGAAAGAGATAAAGATTTGGGACAGGTTTGGGTGTGTT